AAGTCCCCCATTACTACTATCTCCTTCCTTTTGCATGCTTGGCCATCTGTTCCAGGAAGGCATCATCTATGTCCTCCGTTTGGCTTGGGGATCTATAGTAAACTCCCACAATGAGGTCACTGTTATTCTTCTCTCCCTTAATTTTGACCCAAATGCTCTCACTTTGGCTTTGAGGTTCTAAATCTTGGATCTCTTCACAGGTATACACATCCCTGACATATAACGCCACTCCTCCTCCTTTCTTGTCTGGTCTGTTTCTCTGAAATAGATTGTATCCCTCCATTATTACATTCCAATCGTGGGACTTATCCCACCAGGTTTCAGTGATGCCTGTTATGTCATATTTAGTTTGCTGTACCAAGAGCTCAAGCTCATCTTGTTTATTTCCCATGCTTTGCGCATTAGTGTACAGACATTGAAGTCCATTAATCATTCCCCCGTGACTCTTATTTAAGGGTTTTTTCCTTCCACCACTAGGTCTGTGTGCTGTTTGCTCCATTTGGTCTATGACATTTGGATGATCATCTTCATCAATTGATAGACTCCTACCTTCAGAAGCACTGGGTCCCTCCCCCACATTAGTCAGTTTAAAGCCCTCCTGATGAGGTTTCTGAGATTTTTGGCAAAAACATTCCTCCCAACCGTTGTGAGGTGCAGCCCATCGCTTGCCAGAAGTCCATCTTCAAGAAACTACAGTCCGTGATCTAAGAATCCAAACTGTTCCTGTTTACACCATTTGCGAAGCCAGCGGTTCACTTCCACTATTTTTCCTTCTCTCCCTGGGCCACGTCGTTCAACTGGGAGGACAGATGAGATGACAATTTGTGCATTTAATTGCTTCAATTTCCTGCCCAGAGCCTCGTAGTCTCTTTTGATCTTCTGGAGGCTATTGCTTGCAGTGTCATTGGTTCCCACATGAACCAAGAGGAGGGGGTATTTGTCAGTGGGTTTTTATGATTCCTTGCAGTCGTTCAGTTACATCTTGGATCTTAGCCCCGGGGAGACAGCACATTTCCCGAGACATCTTGTCAGGCCCACAGATCACTGCTTCTGTTCCCCTCAGTAGGGAATCCCCTATCACCACTACACGCCTCCTCTTAGGTTTGGTTGGGGTTCTTCCGTGAGCTGTCCGTTCCAAGGTCGCCTGCACATTCCCTGAGGACTGACTTTGCTGCTCGTCTTCATATACCTGATCGACTGTAATGAGGGAGAGATCCTCAAATGGAGTCTGCTCTTCGTCTTCCATGCTAGGGGAGAGGACCTCAAAGCGATTGTGTATTTCTAAACATTCAGAGCGAACCCTGGGCCTCCTACTTCTTTGAGTCACGTTTCTCCATATATCTGGCTCCTGTTTTGGTGAACTAGCCTCCTTCTCAGGGAGTCCCCTGTCTCCTCCTTGGTGGAGACGGTGTGCTCTGTTGCTTCCAAGAAGAGCTCCAGCTCTCTAATTCTTTGGAGCGTAGCTACACGTTCCTCCAGTTGCTGGACTTTGTCTTCTAAGAGAGCAATCAACATGCAATTGCTGCAGGTAAAGCTGCCTGCAACCTTTGGCAAGATGGCAAACATTGCGCAGGAACCGCAGGCGACTGCAGCTGTTCCCTCACCCTCCATCTTGAGAACGTGTCGTTGGGGTGGCTACAGCGGTCCTCCATCATAAAAAGCGTGAAGACAGGACAAATAACTCCCCCCCCAAAACCTAGATCTCCCCCAACAAACGTTTGAGACTAGCTCCCCTAAATCTAAAAGATGGATCAAACTGTGCGCGCCGCTAGGCGCGTGCCACTGCCCTGCAAGCTCTGATAAGCTCCTCCCACAGCTAATCACCTGCCTCAACAGAAACCCTGCCCCCTCTGACCTTTGCACAGGGAGAGCAGCTAATCAGCCACAAAACTAGCTAATCTAGTTTTATGAGCTTGAAAGGCACGTAGGGCGCATGCAGAAATCACAGGAAAATCCTGGGGCAGTTGAGTCTGCAGATTCACAGCGACTTTCATCAGGGCTTTCCAATCATAAGGAATCAAGGCAAAGTTTGACGACTCATCCTCCTCCAGTCCACGTAGATAGGTACTGGTCAAATCCATTTCATTATCAGCTTTTTTCACCTCTCTGATTACGAATAAGGCAGAGGGTCCCAACGGCTAACCTGTTGGCCCTGACCATCCGGTGCCCATGTAACCAGACTCAGCATATTTAGGTCAGCAAGCTCTTCCACAGTTAGGTGAGAAGATGCTTTTGCCTCCTTAACCATTTGCCGGACAGCAGAGATGTTTGCCTTCTGAGCCTTTACCGACTCAGGAGGCACTGCTATGCCTGCTAAGTGAGGCAGACTTGAGGGCTGAAATGAGGTATCACAGGAAAGATTGGGCTGAGATAAGAGAGGGGATTGCTGAGAAACCTGAGAAGCTTCAGAAACTGGCTTCTCAGACGCTGGCTTCTTAAAAAGCAGGTTCAGCGGCGTTGTCACCAACAACCTTGGCAGGGCGGAAAGAACAGATGGTAAGAGAAATAAGATTATCTCTTGATAATCTGCGGATGGTGGCCTAACAACCAAAAGCAAAGCCTTTCTTTCTATGGGAGCAAAACTGTGAATAACAGCAGAATGCTGAAAGACAGCAGAACGCTGAATTTGAGCCAAATGCTGAATGGCATCTCGGCAGAAATGCCAAACCTGCAGGACTCACACTCGGGCTTTGGGCTCTGAGTGCAGGGTCTGTCCTATTTGTTCCCAATCCTGGAGCCTAAAGGAACCAGCCTCAGGGTACCACGGACACTGGGTATGAATTACCATATTTTTCGCTCTATAAGACGCACTTTTTCCCTCCTAAAAAGTAAGGGGAAATGTGTGTGCGTCTTATGGAGCGAATGCAGGCTGCACAGCTATCCCAGAAGCCAGAACAGTGAGAGGGATCGGTGCGCAGTGATTCCTCTTGCTCTTCTGGCTTCGGGGATAGCCACGCAAAGCCTCTTGAGTGCAGCCGGAGTGCTCCTGCCTCTTCACTCAAGAGGCTTTGTGTTGCTTTCTTGTTTCTTGTTTTCCTCTCTAAAAACTAGGTGCGTCTTTATGGTTGGGTGCGTCTTATAGAGCGAAAATTACGGTACTTGCAATAGGACATTTAAGTGCTTTTAAAAGTAGGCACTGCAACTCGTTACGATGTTTCAGCTGTTGCGCAGAAAGGGAACTCCCCATACTCACGTTCCTTCCTTCCAATACTCACCAGGATCCTGTAGAGGATGCAGGGACATGTCTGTAGCTCTTGCCAGTGTGGTATAGTGGTTAAGAGTGGTAGTCTTGTAATCTGGGGAACCGGGTTCGCGTCTCCGCTCCTCCACATGCAGCTGCTGGGTGACCTTGGGCTAGTCACACTTCTCTGAAGTCTCTCAGCCTCACTCACCTCACAGAGTGTTTGTTGTGGGGGAGGAAGGGAAAGGAGATTGTTAGCCGCTTTGAGACTCCTTAAAGGGAGTGAAAGCCGGGATATCAAATCCAAACTCTTCTTCTTCTTGCCGAGCGAAGTGAGTAAAACCAGCCCCATGGACCTGGGCGCCAGATGAAGTGATGGACATGAGACAGGAGTTGATAATGAAGGTGAGCTGCGCACAGGTGAGCTGAAAGCGAGCTGCCAGCCAGCCCTGTGGAGCCTCCTTTTATTGAGACAAATATGCAAACCAGGCAGATACATTTTGGGCTGTGACCTTTATACATCTTCCGGTCCCGAGGTCGTGGGGTGGTACAAAGTTATTTTGGCACCTGTTTCCACCGTGTCATTTTCCCCTTGCACAGTGTATGACGAAAGAGACAAAAGGTCTCAGAGACAATGGTTACAGACAGGGCACCATAGACTACTGAGACCGCAAAAGGGTAGACAGAGGCAATGATGTTCAGACAGCCGTGGCTTTGTCTGTGAGGGGTGTGTGTGCTCCGCACCCCAAGGTCACACGTGCAGGCAGGCTGAGGCCGCCTGCGGGTGGGGAAGTGTGCTCCCTCCGGACCCCACTCCACAATCATCCCTACAAGTGAGAGCTGGACCATAAAGAAGGCTGATCACTGAAGAATTGATGCTTTTGAATTATGGTGCTGGAGGAGATTCTTGAGAGTCCCATGGACTGCAAGAAGATCAAACCTATCAATTCTGAAGGAAATCAGCCCTGAGTGCTCACTGGAAGGACAGATCGTGAAGCTGAGGCTCCAATACTTTGGCCACCTCATGAGAAGAGAAGACTCCCTGGAAAAGACCCTGATGTTGGGAAAGATGGAGGGCACAAGGAGAAGGGGACGACAGAGGACGAGATGGTTGGACAGTGTTCTCGAAGCTACAAACATGAGTTTGACCAAACTGCAGGAGGCAGTGGAAGACAGGAGTGCCTGGCGTGCTCTGGTCCATGGGGTCACAAAGAGTCGGACACAACTAGACGACTAAACAACAACAACAACAAACATATGGGGGGGATGCAACAGATGTATGTAGCTTTCCTATGGCTCCATATACACAGGAAGGAGTTTATAAAAGTAAACATTTAAGGAGTTGGGTAATGCAGCAACTGAATAGGTGAGTGTGAGCACTGCCGGAAGAAGAGTGCGGGGAGAGCGCACCACCCCTGGCAGCGCGATCCTAGCAGGGTGCCATCGCCCAGCCTGCGCTGGGCACCAAGGCCCCGCAGGCGGCGTGCCCCGCCCCCAGGATGCTCGCCAGCCCCGCCCTGCCTGCTCTCCATCCCCCGGTGCCAAAGCATGAAGCTCCGCCACTGACTGTGAGCACTGCAAATATGAAAAGGGCCAAAGCAGTTTCAACTAATTCAGCAGAATTGTACATCAAAATGGGTCAGTGGGTTTTGGCTCCACAATAGGAGTGAGAAGAATAGGATATGAAATAGGACATAGTCATTAAAGAATAGAAGAGATCACTGCCGCAAAATTATTTCATAGCACATCTTCATGTTCTTCCCATTTAGTATGTTATAATTTGAGTACATGACCTGAAAGCAAAAAAGACTGAGAGGTTTTAAAATTTACAATATTGGTCATATTTTAGCTTTGCACCCAGTTTAGTTCCTGCTAAGCACTCTTCAAATTTTGCATCCATTTCCTGGCTCTGAGCTTCAGTGAACAAAGTCTTCCAGTCACCCACAGCACCTATACAGAAACAATGAAAAATGAACCTCACTCTTTATGCCTTCCTGTATAGAGATTTAGATAACAGATTTATGGTTTCTGAATGTTGAAACAAGTGAATGTATTGTCATCTGTCTCATCCTGCAACCCCAGGCACACTTGCTTGGGTGTAACCAAGGAAAGACATTACTAACATGCATCAGAACCTCAGCTGCCTTGTGGAATATCTTTGAGAGAAGCAAAGGCTAAGGGGTGTATTAGATTGGGTGTTGGCAGTTTAATATTTCTCTTTTAGGTTAGTTGCTGGCAAAGAAAGTTGGAAAGACCAGTTTCCTCACCTTGGTTAAGCTTGTTACTCTTAGATAATGGACAGTTTTGAAACCATCTCCCTGCCTGGAGCTGCCCCAAGCCACCCAGCCTCTAGATTCTCTGAAAACTATTTGGTTCTGAGCTCCAGCCAATGGCGTACTGTGGATTGCTAGCACCTGGGACAAGGCAGCAGCATACCCCACACATCCCTCAATATGTGGGCGGGCTTATTAAGTGAACTAGGCTCTCTTAAGGGGGCACACAAAGTTCTGGAGTTGTGGTGCTTCACTGGCAAAAGCGCAGAGGGGCTTTTTTTAGCTGCAGTGCAGAGGGATGGCCAGAGAGTGGGGGGGGGGAGAGGTGTTGGGGTGAGTGGTGACCTGCCTCTACAAGGGGTGCGAGAAGAGAAGAGGAAGTTTAAAAAAAGGAATTCCTTCCATGCCACCTTAAACACCATGCAGGTGCTGCCGCCGCCACACAGCTTCAGTTCTGAGGCAGAATCAGGTTCCTGTGGCCGTAGGGGAATGGCGGGGGGGGGGCACACCAGGGAAGGAGGATGCTGAGTGGCTTCTCTCTCTGAGGTGCAGCTGCGGCTCAGCAGCTTCAAGAGCTCAGATGAGCGAAAAGTGGAAATTTTGGGCTCCTAAGAATTTTGCACCCAGGGCAACTGCCTCTATAGGCCCCCCATGCTATGCCACTGGCTCCAGTTCCATCCCTGGATCTGCTTTGTTCTGTGTTCCTTGACCCAAATATTGTAATTTCCAAGACTCACCCAAGTGCTAACATTTTTAATACAGGCAAACGTCACACATTCCTGAACCGGATGCAGATCGTGGAGTGCAGTCCACTGTGCTTAGAATTTTTTTAAAACTGTTTTAAGTTGTTTTAAACTGCTTTTTAATTTCTTAACTGTACTGTTTCATTATTTGCTGCCCTCGGCTCATGGCTTTTATGCTTCTTATTCCACATAACTGGCAATTATTGGCAGGAGACAATGCAGAAAACTGTGATGTCATGGCACAGGTAACTTCCACTTTTGCAGAAGCTGCTTTGTTATAAACAACTGATTTGGCCTATTTAAAACATGGCATGTGCAAACTCTACTGTGGCTAATCTGTTTACAGTCATAACACTTAGGCATTATTTCTATCCCAACCTACTTGCAAATAAGCCCCACTGAATTGCATCTATCCCACTGTGCAGTCCTGTGCTTGTCCACCTAGAACCTTTCAAGTTCAATAAGATCCCCAACTCCCTGATCACTTAGACCACTCTTCACAGTTTTAGTTGTCTTGTTTGATTATTGACATAGTAAAACATGAGCTGCCCTGGACTCATGGTTTTTATGCCTCGTACTCTACATAGTTGGAAGCTTTTAATGTTTAATAGGTTATTGTATTTTAGTGTTTTGTGGGAAGCCGCCCAGAGTGGCTGGGAAAACACAGCCAGATGGGCAGGGTATAAATTATTATTATTATTATTATTATTATTATTATTATTATTATTGATAGGAGAGAATGCAGAAAACTGTGATGTCACAGCACAAGTAACTTCTACTTTTGCAGACTAATTTGGCATATTTAAAATATGACATGTGCAAACTCTTCTGGACCAGAATACTTCCTTGTTCTAATTATTGCAGAATGCTCTTACAGAGGCTTTATAGGGGTTCTCAGTGTTTTTGAACTTTGGTTCTATATGTGGGATGGGAGTGAGGAAGAGGGAAATGGAGCAAAACTAGTTTCAAAATACAGTGGTACCTTGGGTTAAGTACTTAATTCGTTCCGGAGGTCTGTTCTTAACCTAAAACTGTTCTTAACCTGAAGCACCACATTAGCTAATGGGGCCTCCTGCTGCTGCCGTACCGCCGGAGCACGATTTCTGTTCTCATCCTGAAGCGAAGTTCTTAACCCATGGTACTATTTCTGGGTTAGTGGAGTCTGTAACCTGAACCGTATGTAACCTGAAGCATATGTAACCCGAGGTACCACTGTATTGACAAAATATAATGTTTAGTTGTCCTGCCCCCCCATAAATGGCACCGCTAGAGGGCGCTTGTGTTACTGGAAGAAAGAGAATTCAGTGCAAACGAGTGGCATAAAATCAATACAGTACTGCAGTACCTTTCCTGAAAAGGACAGGAGCAAACCGACCATGTGTTTCTTCAGATTTACTGCTCATTGCTTGGAACGTAGAGCTCTCTGCAACAGACTTAATCATTTCATCAGACAGAGGCAGCTCATAAAATTCAGCTATGCGCTTCACTCCTTCGTGAAGATTCTGGAAAATAACAGTAAAGTTAGTTATGATTTCATAAATATATTTGGTACAAAGGTAGAGCCCTAAGACTCGATAATTGGGCAGGCTAAACATCTAAATAAATATATTCATAAATGTATGTGCTATAGCTTCCTAAAGAGGTGCATCTGATATTAGCAAAAGAAGTGCAGTGTGAAAGGAAACACAGAAACATTGTCACAGCGAAGGTAAAGGTAAAGGGACCCCTGACCATTAGGTCCAGTCGTGACCGACTCTGGGGTTGCAGTGCTCATCTCACTTTATTGGCCGAGGGAGCCGGCGTACAGCTTCCGGGTCATGTGGCCAGCATGACTAAGCCGCTTCTGGCAAACCAGAGCAGCGCACGGAAACACCGTTTACCTTCCCGCTGGAGCGGTACCTATTTATCTACTTGCACTTTGACGTTCTTTCAAACTGCTAGGTTGGCAGGAGCTGGGACCAAACAACAGGAGGTCACCCCGTCGCGGGGATTCGAACCGCCAACCTTCTGATCGGCAAGTCCTAGGCTCTGTGGTTTAACCCACAGCGCCACCTGCCTCCCGCCACAGCGAAGGTACCATCATTTAATTTTCTATTTGCTTCTGTAACTTAGATTCTTGAAAAGCATTTCTTTTTTCAAATATCTGCTACCGATCTTTTCCATTTCCAGTGTGTCATATATTCAATCAGCCATATTCCTTTTAATTAAAAAATAAACTTAGTTATTCAAAGTCCCAAATAAACTATAAAAAAACCAAAAATAAATTAAGTGCAAGCCTATCAATATGCAAAAAGAGTTTACACCACAAAACTTAATCACACTGGCATAGTGGTGTGCTTAGTATTTAATCAAGTGCAGGGCCATATTTTTAAAAAAATATATTTTAAGACATTTAAATATCCAAACCTTCTAACAAAAGAGAAATATACATATAGAATAAAATACTCATACTTAATAGTAGCCATAGCAGAAGAAAAGTGAAATCATTATCTCAGTATCTAAGAATGCTCACTTCTTTCAGCTCTTCATACGTGATGATCATGACATTTTCTTCATCCACATGTTTGTCCCAAGCAAGGATATAGTCAAAGTAGGATTTCCAGCAAACTGAAATAAAATGCAAACAGCATATTTCAAAGCATGGAGGGGGGGGGAATGACATCAGAATACAGTTGTACCTTGGTTCTCGAATGCCTTGTGACTCGAACGTTTTGACTCCCAAACGCTGCAAACCCGGAAGCGAGTGTTCCGGTTTGCGAACATTTTTGGTAAGTCGAACGTCCAACATGGCTTCCGACTGAGTGAAAGAAGCTCCTGCAGCTAATCGGAATCCGTTCTTTGGTTTGTGAACGTTTTCAGAAGTCGTACGGACTTCTGGAATGGATTCTGTTTGAGAACCAAGGTACAGCACTTCATTCATTCACTTTAACCCGACACTGGAGCTATTTTCATGACATGTAAAATCTGTACACAAATCATCAGAAATTGAAAGGAGGCCTAAATTCACTTTGGCATTTATGACTGGCCGTGAATTGGCAGGGTTTCGGACGGGCTCTTCCACAAGCGAACCTGGAGGTGCTGAGGACTAAACCTGGAACCTTCTGCATATGAAAGAGATGCTGCCACTGAACTTCTATAGGTGCCTAGGCCACTAAGGGAATAGAAAGGGGGGGGGATGTCTTTTACCATATGTGGCCTGTCTGCAAGGCTTTTAAAAATTGTTGCTGCTCATATAAATGAACATAATATTCATTCTTATGATTGAACCATGCAATTGTAGAACTGGAAAGGGACACGAGGGTCACCTATACCTATTATACTAAAGGGCTGGTATAAAATGTCTCAAGAAAAGGGATATTATACTTGCAGAAGAGGGCAAGTGCAGCCAGAGTTTTGCTTGCTGAGGTGGTTGACTATTTCTAAGTTGTCCAGTTCTTGAGACCAATGTGTGTGTATCTCTTGAAATGGACAGGTCAAAAAACAAAGGTGGTTGTGACTATTTAGAATTTGCCATTTGTTAAGCTCTTAAAACAAATGACATGATTGCTGCAGAGGTCCTGATGTCATGGGGGAAATCCTGCATAAGTATGTTCAGCATTGACTAATCTGAAATTAGAAACATGGGGGGGGGAAATCAGTCTGAGCTCTAAAACTCCTTCAGATTAACTGGGTTCCTCCTTTGTGGTAGGCAATAGCCCTGAGTGCCACTGTAAGATTCCAGTTTTTTATATAATATGAACCGCCCTAAAACCTTCTGACGAAGGGCAATATATAATCTAATAAATAATAATAATAATAACAACACAATCTCATTATCAATTGATGATGCAAATCTGAGTAAAAGAAACATTGACTGTGGGCTTTTTCTTGCAATCAAGAGCCCTGCTCATTTGTAACTCGTTTCCCTTTCATCTGAAAAGACACTGTACACAAATACTTTGTGGGAAGTTTCAGAAATACAGAAAGTGAGAACTTCTAATATGATATACCTTCGCCACTCATGAACTTTGGAAAAAAATCATCCCAAGAACCGACATCTGGAAGAACAGGGTTTTTGTTGTAAAAATGGTAATAGGATACAGCAGCATCTTTGGGATTTCGGAAAACGACCAGCATCTATTTAAAAAGAAAGAAAGAGATATTAGATTTTGTTGCTTAAAGCAAGTTATGTCATCCGGTGATATGAACTACAATTGACTAGCAACTTGCGCAGGGGTTAGGTTCTGAGAATTGCACGTGAACCTTAAATCTTGTGTAGCCACAACAACCCCAGAACCTCAGAACCCCAGAAATGTGTAAACACCCCAAACCTTCCAGGGCTGGAGCATCAAGCAGGCCATTGGCCCCCATGCAAGGCAGAGAGAGCTGTTATGCTCTCAGTCTTGCTTGCTGGGCTCTGGGAGAGAGCCTCTCACACAGGTTTTAGGAGACTCCTTCAATATCTCATAGGAGCCTAGTCACTTACCTTCACCTTTTTCTCAATAAAAGATTTGGGAATGTTATCATAATGGAGATGTGTAGAAATAATACGCGGAGAAGGCTGCTTTTCCAGCTCCTGGAATGAGAATTAAAGGAATGTTGATCTGTTGTTGTCATTTCAGGATCTAGGGAAGTTGTTATTTCCTCCTTTTTATTGATTCATATAATTGGGGGGGGGGGGATTAGTACTTTGAGTTACATGATAAAAATAGAAAACAACAAAGTAAACAATGGGTTTGGAGTAGTAGTACTACTACTACAATTATACAAATCTATGATTCTAAATACTCACTCCTACCCCCATTTTACCTCATAAACTTATTAAAGTCATCTCCCCCCATCATGGAAGCACAGGAATATTAGTAGCAAGGATTCCCAGTGGAATAGCCGTGTTAGCCTTTCACAGCAAAAATGATGACTCATCATCATCATTTATTTATACCCGACCCATCTAGCTGGGTTTCCCCAGCCACACTGGGTGGCTCGCAACAGAATATTAAAAACACAATAAAACATCAAACATTAAAAACTTGCCTAAAAAGGTAAAGGGACCCCTGACCATTAGGTCCAGTCGTGGCTGACTCTGGGGTTGCGGCGCTCAGCTCGCTTTATTGGCTTCCAGGTCATGTGGCCAGCATGACTAAGCCGCTTCTGGTGAACCAGAGCAGCACACGGAAACGCCGTTTACCTTCCCACCAGTTTATCTATTTGCACTTTGACATGCTTTCAAACTGCTAGGTTGGCAGGAGCAGGTACCGAGCAATGGGAGCTCACCCCGTCATGAGGATTCGAACCGCCAACCTTCTGATCGGCAAGTCCTAGGTTCTGTGGTTTAGACCACAGCACCACCCGCGTCCCCCCAAAAAACTTCCCCATCACACCTTAAAAACTAACAGATTTTAGCATGAGATTCAGATACATTGTTATCCTGAGTTGCAATTATATTTACAGTATACAGGCTTGAGTGGTGTGGCTATAAAAAGTGGTGTCAGGGGGAAATGAAATGCAAAAAGTACAGATATTAGGGATAATTCACTGTTTTTGAGAAGCACCTCCATCAAGTAAATGGTTATGTCCTCTGAGGAACATAGGATGACACGTATATTCTATTTTGCTTTCCATTTGTAAATTGATTTTTAATGAAAAGAGATATATTAAAAGCTGGTATATTTTCTGTGGTTATCGAAAATTGGCTTCAATGTTCAACAAATCTAACGCTATCTCTTATGTATGCTACACAATCACATATAATAGCTGTAAAGTGTCTGCCTTCTGTATGGTACATGTAAGCACTGATCATTTGCTAGAGTAACTTGGAAATCATGCCAACCTGAAGTTTTGTGGGCGGTCCAAATTCAAGTATTGGGCAGTTTTCTAGTGGTGGTAAGTCCTTGTAACTTGGAATCACAGCTATCATGTCATTTACTATTTTGAGCATCCAATTAGTACCTACAACATAAAAGCAATTAAGACATATATGGTTTGCTGGAGCTTAAGTTACGCAACCAAATGCAAAGTTATGTTCATGTATGCCAGTCAACTTTAATCACAGATTTTCAACCAGAGGGTCACAAGACCACACCAAGTGTCACAACAAAGCCATAGACACCATGCAAGGTTTGTTTGTCAAATTGCAACAGAAGGTACTTTCAAATGACAGCTTATTCATTGTGGACGCAGGTGCTCATGCATGCAGGTTTTCAACGGCATCCAAAATCCCCATTTACCATTTCTGATAAGCACAACAAAACATGGAAATGATAAATACAGATTAAATGGCTGTCACCACCATGCAAGCCCCTTGGCTGGCCCTGGAGACTGCAGTCTTTTATTCCCTCTTCTTATGTGAGAGAGCTTCCTCCCCACTTGGCCCCAGCCCAGCCTTGCCACAGCCTCCTCCCTACCTGTTGTTGGTAACGTGCTGCCTAGTTTTGGAAGAGACTATACTTTCCATTTCAGAGGCATCACTGAGCCACATGGAGGATGGGTTGTAGCCAAGGACTTATGAGGCACACATCTCCTCTCCACATAAAAGAGGGCCTTCAGTCGCTGCTCATGGCTGTTGTGGAGTGCTCAGCCACTGACGAAAGAGTCAGTCCAGGCAACCCAAAATGTATTCACCTGGGACCCATTTCAGTTCATTTTGGGTATCAAATAAACACTGGTTTCCTTGTTCAAACTTTATTTGACGGCACTTCCACACGACAGCTTATTATTCATTGTGAAGTCAGCTGCTCAGGTTTGCAGGTTTTGCATTCAAAATCCCCGTTTATGAAAAGCACAACAAAACATGGAAACTGTAAATCCAGGTTACATGGGGGAAATAAACATATGAATCATATGTGATCAGATAGCAATTGGTAACCCAATCCATTCCTCTTTAATTCCATTAAAAGCAGGATACTCACCACATTTTGGATAAGCAACAATCAGCCTATCGTCCTTTCTCGCTTCCATGGCTGCCACTGCTTCAAAGGTCTCAAGACTACAAAGGCGTTTTGGATACAGCACTCCTCTGAATGTAAACAGCAGCTCCTGATTCTCCTTAGTTTGAGTTGTAGCTAAAATATTGTCTATATTTTCCACAAAACGCGGCTTTTTCTTGGCCATGCTTTACTCTTGTAGGCTGCCTCGGTCTTGTCACATTCCCTTTCAAGAGACAGACTTGGTTCTGCATAACCAGTAGTTGCACTATAATGATATAGTGGAGGACCTAGCAATTCTGAATCACAGGAACTTGTACACTATGTACCCAATTGAGCCTCTGGCTTGGAACAGCCCCATTTTATGAAAATATGAATTACACAATATTGGCTGAGCTGGGTGCTTTCTCAGGGGAAAAGTCACTTGGAAATGACATTGCAACACCCGAGGCCCTGTAGGAGGAGAAAAGCAGCCTGAAACCATTCCATTAAGTAGCTCCTTGTGTCTTTATGTAATTATAGCAGAGTGCATCCTTTCTTCTTTTGGTATTCTTTGGGAACTCTGTGAAACAAGCATTATAGAGCTTAAGAATGTGCTCTAGAATTTGAAAGTGTATCAAGATATGAAACAGGTTTCTGGCATTCATATATCCACTTATCGGATTCCCACAGAAAGGTTCGTTTCCGATTATATGGGATGGGGTGAGAATGCAGGCTCTTATTTTGTTGCCAATGGCATCCTTTGGTTACTGAAAGAAACTTGCATGCACCAAGAGAACTCTAACCATCCATCTAGAAGTACCCTTTGTTAACCACTCTAGGAAGTATATTGCAGGGGTGGGAAGCTATATATCCTACTAAAGAAATAACTGTTAAGTGTGTTTAGGATTACAGCCATAGTGTGCCAGTAACGCCACCCATAATTTTGTGTTAACTGTTGTTGCCTTATTGTCAGGAATGATCCATATGGACAAGGGCCAATGCTTTAGGCGGCAGCAGAGCTGCTTACATTAATGCAAGAGCTTTGCTCACTGTTTTGGGCTGTGCTATGCACATTGATTGTGCTGGAAAGTCAGTTTTGGAGGACAAGATCTGCACAAACACACCGGAGGGGCAGGGAGATTGTTCTGTCTGCCAGGCAGAACTACTTGCATTGATGGAACCTTAGTGCAATGTTGAATTCCACCCATAGGCTCCCATTTGTAAAAAAATAAAAAATAAAATAAAAAGTAAATTAAAAACTTCTTTTTATGGATGGGGCATGGAAGATTTGGAGAAGTTAAATTAGTCTTTCATATCTATTATTCCTTCATAAAATGTGTTTGCCAATCCTGTAGCACTTTACTCACGTTCAAAACTGATGGAATTAAACAAGCCCAGATTTGAGGGGCATTTTACTGAACAGGGTAAATTAGACGTGGCTGCTTTATTTTACTTTCTAGATAGGATAAAACTAAATGTTTGTTCAGACATTTAGGATTTCTTAATACAAAATATCTAAACCCCTGTCTCTCAGAACTTTGGTAAGTACACATAAAAAATTCCTACACTGCTTCCTACATACAGTATATATGACTCCCAGAAATATACTTGTGCTCAATGTGATTTACTCCCAGGTAAAGGAATGCCTCAGAGTAAATTCATTATTACTTACTTCTAAGTAGACACAGGGTTGTAATGTATGTTCACAAACTTTTATGATGATAACAAGTCTGCATACTTTGCCGTGTTAAATAGCTTTTGCAAAAGAAGTCTGAAGGTATATGTATCAAACTGGCGAGGCCATAACAGCATCCAGTCACTTAAAAAAACATGTTTGCTTTACAGCTAAAGTTCTCAGCGTATCAACAAGCTTTAATGTAACAGAGGATTAACAAATAGCAGGTCACTAAGATTTCCCCAATGAAACCAAACTGCCCCTGAAACTGGCCTGTTCTGCATTTTCATTGTCAGGTTAATCTTTTAAAGGTTTTGTTACCCCCCTACTGCTTTTAGGACAAACATTCTAATCTGCAAGTAAGTTCAGATGGAGATCTTGTATTTTAATTTGCTAGCCATGTCCAAATTCACACATCTTCTTTTTTATCCTGGGTGAACAAATGTGAATTACCGGTAACTACAATATTCACAATTGCTGACAATTAGACAAGCCCAGAGCTTTCCAAGCTGTGTGTGACATTAGTGTGACGTGATACATTAGTGTGACGTGATACATTAGTGTGTCGGTTGCAGTGTGCAGATGTGTCACACAAACCCTCCCAGGGCTGGAAAGGGATTAGTTTAATTTCTGGTTTGCTAGTAAAACTGAATTACTGTGTCACGAAGTGATGCATGTCTAAAAAGTGTGCCACCAACATTAAAAGTTTGGAAAGCTTAACAGGTCCACTCAAAAAAGAATGTTCTAATAATGAGCTGTGAAGTACTGTGAATTTTAAAAAATACATCCCAGCAAAGAATTGGGGTGGGGGTAGGCAAAGATGACACCAGAGCCAATTGCAGCTAATCTTTAACCCTTTTCCACAGGGCAGCTGGTGGTCAAAGCCCTTATAAGGATCCTGATGCATTGCTATATTTTAATGTGGTTTCATTCATGTATCTTTCTTACCTCTAAGCCGCCTTATAAGGACTTGTATCCTGAAAGGTGAGGTCTGAATGAGCTCTACCTTTAAGCGGCACCTTCTAGAGCCTGGCCAGACACATCCAGTTTAATGGAGGTTTTCTGCTTTGTTTCTCCACTTTTACCAGGGGTGCAAGCAAAGCAGGAGCGAACAAGCATCAGCATACTGTTCAAGCCTGATCAACAAACCAGCAAGCCTGACTTAGTATGATGTGTGAACATACCTTCTGATTATTAAAATAATGGGAGCGGTGTTCTATCCTTTGGGCTCTAGGTTGCCCCCATTCCAGGGACCACAGGATGATAGCCTAGCTTGTATTATTTTGTTTTCTCCGAAAGAATAGCACAATAAAAAGCAATGACAAAAAATTTAACTTTTTAATCAAGCCAGATACTGTACAGTGGTATGAATCTTTATATATATTTTTATATACATTTTAAAATATTCAGCGGATGAGTTCTCTGTTGAACGGCGTTTGCAGGTGTAATGAATGTCCTGGAAGACTAGTGGAACCTATAAAAGGAGAGATTTAAAACTAGAATAAATTTCATTACCCAAAATTAAATGCATTATTCATACACATTAATTATCACAATAGCAAATAAATAAACTGAAAATGGAAGAAATCATATTGAGCCACAAATTCTTAAAAACTCGCTTTCAACCTAAAAATAAGGAAGGTTCACATTTTAGTAGCAGCAATTCTGCATGTGGCCAATGCCAGATATAATTTTGACATCATAGAATGTCATTTAATATATATTTCTCCAAATATACCTGAAGCGTATATAACCCGGGGTACCACTGTATATAAATTGTTGAACTAAATTGATTGATTGATTGATTGATTGGAATAAAAATAAGTACTCTGTCTCCAAGGCTATTGTGTTTCCCTTCCCTATTCAGGGTCTATTTGTGGGTCAGGGGATCTAGAAAAGCCTCCTCCTAATCCACCCATGGTATCCCCCTTTTTTGCTGTTGCACTTGCCACAAGTAGGTTTGCCAGGATGGACCTTCTCCTCTGCCCATGGGCCTCTGCCCAAAGGATAGAACACCACTCCAGGGACCACAGGATGATAGCCTAGCTTGTATTATTTTCAGAAGGCAATTGCTTGCCAGGCTCACACAGTGGTATTACTGCCCCAACAAATCAATACAGTGGTACCTCAGGTTACAGACACTTCAGGTTACAGATGCTTCAGGTTACAGACTCCGTTAACCCAGAAATAGTACCTCGGGTTAAGAACTTTGCTCCAGGATGAGAACAGAAATTGCGCACTGGTGGCGCAGCGGCAGCGGGAGGCCCCATTAGCTAAAGTGGTACCTCAGGTTAAGAACAGTTTCAGGTTAAGAACGGACCTCCAGAACGAATTAAGTTCTTAACCCAAGGTACCACTGTACAGTGCACTTTACACTAGATATAAATTTAATTTTTGATATGGTCATTTCTGTCACTCACTAACCTTGCTTACCTAAATTCTGCCTTTGTAAAAGATTGGGAAGGCTGATCGGATGTCTTGTCACTGATGAGAGTGAAGGTGTTGGTGTGCATCGATAATGCTGCATAGTTCTTTGTCCAAATCCATCTGGCGTTTGATCTCTATTATTTTGTGTTGATACGAATGGTGACATATAAGAAGTCTCCCTATTTGGCATTCTTAAGGACAATGACCTAAAAAGTAGAAGGACAAGACAGTGTCTATAGCTCATATTGAGAAAGGTAGGCCTATTGTATAATCAATTCTAGCAGGATGTACATTTTTGTTTAGCAAGAGGCATGGCTTTTATTATTTATTTGCTACATTTATAGACCGTTAAACATTTAGTAAACTTTGTATATTATGGAAATGACAAAACAAAAAAGTGATAAATTACATCCGCCTCGCAGACGTTCTAAGTTGCGACTGTGGCAAACCCGGAAGTAAACACCGGGTTTGCCGCGATTCGTGCATGCGTGGAAGCGACTTCTGCCATCTGCGTGTGCGCACAAGCGGCTGCCACCTCTACACATGCGCAGAAGCGTGTTGTCGCCAAATGCGCATGTGCACAATGACACCTCTACTAGTGTCTGGTTTCGCCCAGCCGACAGGCCTCCGGAACGAATTATGATTGTAAGTAGAGGTTGTACTGTACTGTTAGGAGATACCCCTCAAGAGGAAAAAATTACCAAGGTACATTCCACATATTTGGTGAATGTATTCTTGGAAGTTTTATTCTGTCAGAATAAAAAAGAATGGAGATATAAAGATTAGGACTTCGTTTTCAACAAAGTAAACATTTTATTAATATTTAACACAATAAATAAAAAATTCACAAATAAAAATTTCAAGCAGGATATATTTGAAAACGGAGGCCAATTTGAATAATAACTTTTTTCTTTGGAGAAACAAAATTCCTAGATGTGAACCGCCCTGTGATCTTATGAGGAAAGGTGTTAAATAAATAAATAAATAAATAAATAAATAACTCTTCAATCCAAGTTGTTCACCGCTGCTTTGCACAGCTATTGATGCACCCACAGCCTGGCCACTCACAGACGAGTGAGTGGCAGACAGATTGGGTCTGATCCCTGGGCCAGCTTCAGGCTGGTAAAGCAACAGGGCCAATATCAGGCCCTATGCCAGCCAGGATTGACTGTGAGAGTAGCTTGCGGTCCTGGGCAGGTGACACCCTGCCCCCACCCTGTCCTCGGAACCCCCAATTTTTGGGCCAACCACCAGGCTCTCTTGATGTGGATACTGTGGGGAGGCAGAAGGGAGATGCTTGCGCCACTGGCTGGCAAAATTGAGTGGAGGGATGCACAGTCCTGCATAAAGGGGTATGGCTTGCAGCCCAAGGTGGAAAAACACGCCCCTTGCGTTTCAAAAGTTGACTCTTACTGCTAAATTGGTTTGTTACCTTACAGAGCCTGATGAACTGTTTTGAGAAGAAGTCATTCCAGACAATTGAGAACCTCTCCATGTAACACTACCTGTAAACAACATTCCTGAATATATTAGAACATGAAAGAATTTAGATGGCATACTACATTATTTTGAAAGCACATATCCAGAAACGCATAAATTTAATACAGTGGTACCTCGGGTTACATACGCTTCAGGTTACATACACTTCAGGTTACAGACTCCACTAACCCAGAAATATTACCTCGGGTTAAGAACTTTGCTTCAGGATGAGAACAGAAATCGTGCTCTGGCGGCGCGGCAGCAGCAGCAGGCCCCATTGGCTAAAGTGGTGCTTCAGGTTAAGAACAGTTTCAGGTTAAGAACGGACCTCCGGAACAAATTAAGTACTTAACCCGAAGTACCACTGTATACCTCTTGAAAAAGTGAAATGTCAATGTATCCTTTGGATTACTCGAAATTATCTACTACGTTTGAAGCCAGCAAGATGATTGACAGTCAAACTTTCAGCAACAATGTTTTTACCATTATAAATGGGCCATGGTTTTGTAAAAAGTTACAAATCCAATGATAACATTAAAAAACAAACGAACATTATCTACTATATTATTTTTCTGTAATTTGGTTTTTTATTATCTTCCTAACTATCTATATATGTTCCTCTGGACCTCACTTATATACTGATGGATCAAATTTGTTAAAATACTTCTACATATGATGAAAATGAGAACAGTGCTTCTTCCACAACAATTAGAAACTGAAATCTACGTAGTCCAAATCACTATATTTATTAGAAAAGTCTGAAAACTTTTCACCTGCATGAATCTTAGTATCTAAAGGCTGACATATATGGTATAAAGTTTACCTAAGTATTGAGCAGACTAGCCAAGCTACCCTTTGAACAGAATGTAGGGTTGTTAGACATTTATTCTAGAGCTGGGTGAACAAATTTTTGCATGATTCTCTAAAAGGAATTGGCTCCTGCAAGTATTCAGTCTGAATTCCTGAAAACCCTCAAGGAATTTTTGAGAGTTTAAAATATCATCTCAGCTACCTTCTACCTTGTCCCATCCTCAAGGGTAGCAAGTAGTGGTAGGTGTGCATGAATAAAACCATTATCAGGGTGCAAGCTAAATTATACCTATTCCTACTCAGCTTTTAAAAATTGGTCATGATATCTTCTTACCCATATGCCCATTCTGAGGTGGGCTTATCAATGATATCCTGGTTGGTCCAGCAGCTGTTTCAGTCTAGATGAATTCAGAAAAATTGACAGTATAATATGTAGAAACATAGAAAATATATAATTTCAGTTTTTTTAAAAAAAACTGCTGCTGTATCATGGACATTTTAGCTTGCCAGTAATTTGATTGTTTCTTGACAAGGAGGGATATTATTAACTTGTACTACTTAAATTCAATAAAGTGCTTTATTAACCTATTCTGTATTTACTAAAAGAATCTGTTAAGCAGCTTCCAAGAGGCTCAAGCTATCATGCAAAAAAGTAAAACAAATAAAATAAAAAATTGCAATAAAAAATTGCAAAAACAATAAACGGAATAAACAGCACTAAGCAAAACAATTAGCCAGCAGAACAGAAGACAGAATGGAAGGCAAGAGTTTTAAACTCTCCAGAAGAAGAGCAATTACAAAGCTCATTTCACAGTCTCAATGTAACTCTTGTTTCTCACTGCTACTAAGGTGACAAGCCCCTTCTGAATGTTCACAATCCAAGTGCAAATGGGATCAGGAAAAGAAGATTGGAATATGTAAGGTAATGTAAAGAGACCCACACAGAGAAAACCTATTCCACAGTGTCAACCCCAAGCACAAACCCTATTGCCTAAATTGAGTATCCCCTCATATTGAAGCCACTCTCCCTGCTGACACATCACTTTATCTATCTGGAAATTAGAGTGGAAGATTCCTAATTACACCTAATTTGACACAGGAAAGAGAAGGACACTTACTTTCCTCACTGAAGACGGCACATAATCTGTTTCCATTGGTGAAGACCTACTGATTTGAGATTGAAAGCTGCTAAATGTTAAAATAAAACACCATTAAAGATTTTTTTAACCACTAAGCTTGCCATGTTATATTTAATTTGTTTAGTTATAAACAACAGAATATTGCAGCATCTCTATGTAAAACTGTACCTTATTAAAGCTTTTTTGGAGTGAACTTCTATCTTATATGAAACTATATAAGATCTCATGCCATTTGTCCTTTTTCTAACAGGCTACAAGCATAACTGCATTCTTCAAATACCTTTATGAATAATTCAGTGGTTAATAATTCCTTTAGAGATTTACAGTACAATCCTTTACATGCCTACTTAGAAGTGTGCCTGCTGGGTTCAATGGTGCTTACAGTTAAGTCGACATGGAATTGCAACTTTTAAAGTTGCTATCAATGATAAGCAAACAATTCCATCAGATCACAAATATATATCTTATCTGGATTCCAATGAAGCAATTTTGCAGATGATTTTGCACACAAAAAATAAAACTCTCATAAGACTATACTTGAATGTTGACGGGATTTAATACATTTCTTTTCCATTTAAGAATACATTATTTCTATTGTATCATACCAAAGTTCCATCCAATACAGTGTAATATTTTCTATAATGAAATATTTTCCAAGAAGTACACAAAACAGCTTTACCCCATACTATCAACAATTAAGTGGTCAGGATAATAATTAAAATGTTGCTTACTGTTGCACTTGCTGTTTATGTTGCATTTGTTGTGTTGCTTTCTTAAGATATCCTTCCAATTTTGTAATCTGTATAGAATAATGTATTTCAGTAATTTAACCTTCATGATTTATGTTGTCATCCACAACCCACTGCAAATGTCCAATGGTCTTTAACGAGATTGAGAGTAAGTGGCTTGCTGCTCATAGTCATAACATTCTGACTAGCAGATGAAACAAAGGGCTGGACTGGGCAATCATCTCTCTAAAACAAGAACCCACTGCACCTATCCCACCTCTTGACATGTACCGTACTGGCCCGAATATAAGCCGCACCCACAAATAAGCTGCACCTTTAAAATTGAAGAGGGAAAAAGAAATAAAGACAATATCTGGGCTGCTTCTGGGGGGGAGCTGTGCCGCTTTGCCAGCAGCATATGGTTGCGGATATAAGCCGCACAGGCAGAATTGGGGGGGGGGGGGGAGTGCAGCTTATATTCAGGCCAATACGGTAATGTAATATTAATAATACAAATGTGTAAGTCAATCTGTTGCATTTTAGTAGTATAATATAAATCTATAAATATAACTTCCTCTAACCTCCCTCCAGTATTTCAAATCAACTAGAATCAAGGTAGCTTTGAGGGAGGCCCTTCTCTCAGTCCCACCACCCTCACAGGCACACTTGGTGGGGATGTGGGAGAGGGCCTTCTCGGTGGCTGCTTCCAAACTTTGGAACTGCCTTCCCTAGGGAAGCTAGACTGGCTCCCTCCTTGCTGTCCTTCCGCTAGCAAGTGAAGACTATCTTGAAACAACAGGCTTTGGAGAACTGTCTGCTTTTAATGAAAGGGCTGGGGCCGTGCTGTTTTTATTGTAATTGTGGACATGTTTCACACAGATTTTATATATATATATATATATATATCGTTTTAATCAGTGTTCAATTGCATTTTAATGATTTATTTTTCTATGTTTTTAGTAGTTCTTGTTTTTATCTGTAAGTTGTTTTGAGTCCCATCAGGGGGGAAAGGGGGTATAAATATATATATATATATAACAATACCTTTCCTTTGTAGTTTGCTAATAACCGTCTTCTGTGTTTTTCTTGGAAATGGGCAATCTAGAAAGGAAGAAAAATAGGATTACATGTCATTCAATTATGTTGCCATGATGAACAACTAGATGAACAACAATAAAAAATAAGAGAAACTATATACCTAATGCTAATTATCATAACCTTTCTTTTAATACAGCAGCAAGTATGCATACTTTTCCAGAGCCAGTTCACTCTAAGGCCACTATTCTGTTCTCTCCAAGCAAGAAACTTAAGTTGCAGAACGACTCTTCAATGGCATCCAGCATGATGTTCCCATGCCATTTTACCATTGGGCCTGGTCTGGCCATTCAAAATGCTAAAGGACAGAACCTCTCATACTTCACAATGGATCACTCAGTGAACTGCTCGTCTCAAGGCCTCCACATGTGGCAGCACTCAAGTGTCTATTGAGAATATTGTGTGTGTGCATGCACATTAAGAACTGAGAAGAAAGTGAGCTGATTAAAAATATTGTTTGTATTTGTTTGGAGATTATGGGTTTAAGTTGCTGGCTGTCTCACAGCTTTGCCCATCTGAAAAAACAAGTTGATAGATGTCACTTTTTAATTAGAAAAGTTTGTCATAATTAAACCCTGTCTATCAAGGACAGTAGCCATTGTTTCTTTGAAGCCTTTGTACTGCAATACAAATCAAAGGCATCTGCAGGCTATAATTAGTCAGGAACTTCTTTGAGATTCAGATTAAAGGAGGAGCAAGACAAAGAGACACACCGCCATACAGGAGGGAAATGAATCAACACAAGTCTCTATGCAAGAAAGTTACAGCATAGAACTGTAAATTTGATCAAAATACTGGATGCAGTTAAACCTAGTTTTCTTTTCTGTACCTTTGCTCCTATTTGGGGAAGTGCCTTGTGTGTATGAAACCTTCTGTTCACTCCTTTATCCTAAGAACCATTTAAAAAATCCTTTTAGGAAACTTTTTCATGATATCTGATAATATACCACCCATGTCTAAAGGCCAAGTTCCAAACTAGTTTGAATTGTTCTTGAGGGGACACCAGAGAAATTTTAATTGCTGGATAAAATTATGAAGGCCACTTCATAATTACTGGATTATATATAATTTCAAGTACTTAACTACATTTTTATTAAAATATTTTAAATTTTGCAAAAAACCATTAATGTAAGAAATGAAATAAACTCTAAAATTATTCAGATGAGAATAACTGTGTTAATTTACAGGTAGGTAGCCGTGTTGGTCTGCTGTAGTCGAAACAAAATAAAAAAATTCCTTCCAGTAGCACCTTAGAGACCAACTAAGTTGTTATTGGTATGAGCTTTCGTGTGCATGCACACTTCTTCAGGTACCTTCAGATACTTAAAGTTCTCACACCTATGCTCTATACCAAAATGCAATTTTATTGCACAAAATATTACATTATAAGTAATTTCTAATAACTATATGATGTACTCTATATTCATTGGCAATACCAAATCCATTAAAGAATTTCTTCTTCTGGGTTGGTGACAATTTGATGGTGAAAATCATCTCTAGCATATTCCTGATGAAAAATCACTCCAATAGATAACAAACAACTCACTTGTGTGATTTCTTTGGAATATGTTTTGCATAATCCATCTATTTCCATAAACAGCAACTGGATATTTGAATTCACCTGCAGAGAAACATATTACACATGACCAAAAAACATTCAAAGCATATCAATCTTTTTGAAATACAGTGGTACCTCAGGTTAAGAACTTAATTGTTCTGGAGGTCTGTTCTTAACCTGAAACTGTTCTTAACCTGAGGTACCACTTTAGCTAATGGGGCCTCCCACTGCCACCGCGCCGCCGCCACGTGATTTCTGTTCTCATCCTGAAGCAAAGTTCTTAACCCGAGGTACTATTTCTGGGTTAGCGGAGTCTGTAACCTGAAGCGTCTGTAACCCGAGACACCACTGTATACAAAAATAAGCTACTTTGCAAAACAAAACCAAAAACACTCAGTCTTGCATACAGCACAGAACATAAAGAGCAATCTCAAAGTGCTACCACGATACTAATCTAGGCTCTAGGTCCCAGTGCCAGCACAACATTGGAATTATACTAGCAAAGGTTTTACAACCAACCCTGAGTACTCCACTGTACATTTTTTTTTTTTTTTTGCATGTTTCTCTTGTGAACCACTAAGAGATTATTTACAGAAACTGGTATGTAAGTCATATAAATAATAAAAAATTGTTACAGAATAGTTACAGAACTAGGTAGTTGGTCTGGGATCAAAATCAAAACACACTTTTTAAAAGATTATGTTCCAGTGGAATCAGCAGGACAAAATAACTAAGTTTTAAAATAACAATAAAAATATTTATGTTACTAAGCATTTGTAAATCCTCAAACATTGTAGTTGCAAGCAACTGTTTTTCTGTACCTTTTTGGAAAGGACTATTGTACGACAAGGAGCTCTGCAAATCACACACTCATCTTTTTTACCTATAAAATAAAGATCAATGCATAGTAAATGTTATTTTGATTAGCAAATGTGTGTTGTAACCTTTGATGAATTAAAAATATAAATACATAAATACATACATAAATACATACATATGTTGCACATTAAAGATAAACAGATCTATTAAGGCATAACATATATTAGTCTTTAAGGTGCTACCAGACTCTTGTTGGTTTTGCTGCTGAAAGTCGCCTCACTTGCCAGCAAGACATCCTGTGAGCAGAATTCTGCAGAATGGATGCTTTTGCATTACAAGTGGAGAATTCAGGATTCAAGCCAGGATGTTAAGGCTGCAGTCTATAACTATTTAGCTGGGAGTAAGCACCATTGGAAGCTACTTTTGAGTAGACATGTACAGGATGATTGTATTTTAAGTCTAGATATTGCAATACTCCCACTGAAATCCGCCTGACTTAAAATACGGAGAATGCTGGTGTTACTCTTAAAATGTGACAGATGCACATAAATAAAATGGTTTTAATTTATTTTGTATGTTCTAATGATAAAAATTGAGTGGGATAAGTAAATAATGGTTATTGTAATAACTGGTGCCCCTAAGCAATATCTTCATGACTTTTCAGCCACAGGAAAGAAACAACAGTATATTTGTTTCTCAAAGTACAGAGTTGAGATGGAGGCTGTTAAGGCCTTGCAACTCTACCCACTGATCAGATACATTTATTTACAGTATAAAATTATTTATAGATTAACCCCTCATGCAAAATCTGAGGGTGGTATACAACAAAATTCACGATGAGATAAAATACTATTAAAAACAATACAGAACAACAATTAAAAGCTTAAATCTAAATTAAAAGCTCATCTTAAAAGCTTAATACTATTGGATCTTAAAAGCTTAATACTATTGGACACAACGGACAAGCTTGTTGACACAAAAAGGAGACATTTTAAGGTTAGAAGTGAGGATGCCTTAGATTGAGAATGGCATATGCCACAGTTTGCATTGCTGCAGCTACTTCAGGGCGAGTTTGTAGGTCCAATTTTTATGAAGGACCCTCCCTCCAATAACTGCCAGTACCCTGTGCCATGAACTGCCTTGAGAATTAAAAAGTAGACTTGGGTTCATACTGAGGTTCTGCCTTTGACCTATCACTTGAGGTTCCTTAACATAATATTCCTTTAGAGCAGCTGTGGGGGGGCACTTCCATGTTTTGTTGAACTACAACTCCCATCATCCCTGGCTGTTGGCTATGCTTGCTGAGGCTGATGGGTGCTGTAGTCCAGCAACACCTGGAGGGCCAAAGGCTCAGCACACCTGTCCTAAGAGGCAAGACTCCCTCAATTCGTGTATGTTCTTGCAAAAGTAGCTATTTGTAGAATAGGGAGGCTACCTTTCCGGAGGCACTGCTCACAGACAACATGGCCGCAGTTGGTCAGGCAGAACTTTTGGGCGGCTCTTTGGGGCTTCTGGAAGCAAGCATTGCAGAACACCAGGGCAGCCATGAAGGGAAGGGAGGCGAGCGGGTTTTATCTACAACCCGTCGACGGAGCCATAGCCAGGAGGACACCTGCGCTGCCCCTTAGCTCATTCACTTGAAAAGGGTTTTTCCAGCCCCTCCCGAGGCGCCCAGGAGACCCGCCTCCTCCTCCTCGCGGACGAGGCAGCTCGCCTGAGGTAGAAAGAGCCGCCTTCGTCCCCCGCCCCCTCCCCGCAAGAACGAGCAGCGCCGCGGCGCCCCTCCCCCACCACACCAGGTTGAGCGCTGAGTCAGGAAGGGGGCGGGGAAGAGGCAACGGTGACGCGAAAGGTTTGGCTCCTCCCCCCGCTGCCGACGACGTTCGTTTGTGAAGGGAGGCCGCAGAGATTCGGCATTAAAATACAGAGTGGCTCTGTCACTGCTGCGATAGGTCGTTTCTGGGTCCAGATAGGGGGGAACAAAGCATTTTTCCCAATGCCCACCATTGCGGAACTGAGAGCTGCTACGTGTTATCTATGGAGAAATGTGATGTGGCATTCCCGCCTGAAGCAACAGGGAGGAGTAAATAAAGTTCCCCGCCCCTTCTCTTTTAACACAAGGTCACGCCGTGTGGGAAATAATCGTCGTTTATTTTATTTTATTATTGTATTTTTTTTATTTTTGAGTCTGCTCTGCCTGTCCAAATCCGGTCCCAACAGTTCTGGTCCCTGTATCGCCCTGGAGTGCAGTGTGAAAGCTGAGAGAAGCTTACAAAGTAGTCATAGCTGTCAACTTTTCTTTTTCTTGCGAGGAATCCTATTCGGAATAAGGGAATTTCCCTTAAAAAACGGGAAACGTTGACAGCTATGAAAGTAGTAGCCTTGCCATGTGATCCATTGACCATATTGCGGGGCGGGGGGGAGGTCAGGCTGAGATTAAGCAACCTAGGATGGACCACCGTTAAGGGGCTTGAGGCTGGCTTACATTTCCAGCTCAAAACGGAGCCCATGCCAACACTCCCCAAAAACGCAACCCGGAAGGACTCGGAAATTGGTTGTGTGGGTTGCTCTACACTTAAAAGTCTATAGCCTGGGTCTATCTGAGAATCCCACAGGGACGGGAGTTCCGACGGACACGTCCCGCATCCCTTAAGAGCGGTCTCGCTTTTTCTCGGGAGTTGCCGGTTCTCGCGAGCACAAGCAAATGAATCGGCCGGCTGAGCTTGCATAGCTGGCGAGGCGGACGCGGCTGTTCCTCCGCCTGCGAGACCCGCTGCGACTCCAGTGCTGCTGCTGCTGCTATGGGGCTGCAAGGGGTCAAGGCTGTTTTCTTTGACTTGGACAACACGCTGATCGACACCGCCGCCGCAGGCAGGAGAGCCATTGAGGAGGTACCGGTTGCACGCAGCTCCTCCCTTCTGGTCTTCCTCCGTTAAAAAAAACACAACGACAAGGAAGTGCAAGTATAATAAGCTGTAAAGCCTTATTGCCAGACAGTTCCTGCTCTGAATCTGTTGTGTCTTTTGTGGTTTTTAAGGAAGTAAAGTACTTTGCAACTCCCATCTCCCGGACATCTCGGGCTAAGGGGACCCAGTGCTGAATCAATATTGGCCTTTAGTTAATTAAAGTATGGCCTTTTAAACGGGTGGGGGGACGCAGAGGCGTTATTCTTTTTGTTAGTTCCTGTGTTATGTATTTTTGTGTTTTTATATTTTAAGTCACCTTGTGATCCTCGGATGAAGGGCAGTACAGTGGTACCTCGGGTTACATACGCTTCAGGTTACAGACTCCACTAACCCAGAAATAGTGCTTCAGGTTAAGAACTTTGCTTCAGGATGAGAACAGAAATTGTGCTCCTGTGGCGCGGCAGCAGCAGGAGGCCCCATTAGCTAAAGTGGTGCTTCAGGTTAAGAACAGTTTCAGGTTAAGAACGGACCTCCGGAACGAATTAAGTACTTAACCCGAGGTACCACTGTATAGAAATTTAATAGATAATAATAAAGAATGTGATGGTGGTGATGAATGCAGCAATGTCACACAGCCAGCATTCACTCCCAGACACGACTTTCAAGAGCACAAATTCTGTTGGATTTTCTTTTACAGCTCTTTCAGTCATCACTGTTGGATGTTTCATCTGTTTCACTATGGATCTCTTTCTCGAATATTTTCAAGGAAAGGCCCTGTTGCCTCTTGTAGGGGAGGAAGTACTGTGGGTATTTTGCATGTCCTCTCTTAGGACATCTTCGTACCTGAACGGCTGATTTCTGGGGGCCATGTGAAGAATGCTGACAAGTTTAGGGATACCCGGGTGCTACCTTATACTGAATCTGACCATTAGTCTATTACCTTAATCCATATTGGCTACACTGACTGGTGGGTGACTCTCCAGTAGGTACTCTTTCAGGCCGACCTGAAGATGCTGGGACCTTCTACATGCAAAGCACAAGCACTGAGCCACAGCCGTTAATGTATTAAGTACTCATAAGTAACAGCAAATAATCAGAGGATAGTTATTTGTTCTTGGCCATTGGCCAATTAATCCAGAAGAAGAGAATGTACCTTGACACTTTATGTACTTTATGCACAGTACGATAAAGGCTTTGCCTTTTTTTAAAAAAAATTGCAGTGTGTGAGAGACAGAGTAGTTTGGAATTCACATGAAGAACTTGAAAATAGTGTCGCCTCTTGGATATGCAGCATAATGTATTTCACAAAATATGCCATGATTTGATTTTGGCATTCTAAATCAAAATGCTTACTGGGGTTAATGTCATTTACATGGGCTCTATTATGGTGGTGGTTAAAAGGCTTTGTGCCCTTGCATAGAGAAAGCTCTAGTGTTCCAACATCCCACCTTGCAGAAATTAACTCACGTTGTAACAAAAGGAGAGCTCTTGTGTAAATGTAGAATAGAACAGCATTGCTGTTTCAGAATGTGGATTAGAGGACTGCAGGTGCAGTATCCTTTAATTTAGTTTTTGCTGCTTTGCTGACTTCAACCAATATAAGAGGGCAACTGAGAACTTGTAGGTATGGGCTGTAGCAATTTCTAAATAATGTATAAGTTGTTATGGCTGAAATACATGAATTTCTTGATGCGTGTTACACTTTAGATTACCCCTGGAATGGATGAAGCATGCAAAAGTAATGGCTGAATGAGTACTAAAAGAGTTGTGCTCTTGAAAATGGTGTCTGTGAGATGAATACAGGCTGTGTAGCATTGCTGCATTCATCGTCATATTATTATTTAGTATTATCTATTAAATTTCTATACTGTCCTTCATCTGAGGATCACAGAGCAGTTTACAATATAAAAGCACAACAACAGCCGAAATAATAACAAACAAAACAAACAAACACACACACACCCAAGTTTAAAAGGCCATAGATTGTTTAATTAGCCAAAGGCCTCCGAGAAGAGGAATGGTTTTTGCCTGGTGCCTAAAGATATGTAATGAAGGTGCCTGGCAAGCCTCCCTAGGGAAATCATTCCACAAATGGGGAGCCACTGCATGTTGCCACCCTCCAGACCCCTCATGGAGGAGGCACATGAAGAAGGCCCTCAGGTGATAATTGCAGGGTCTGGGTCAGTAAGTATGGAGGCGGTCCTTGAGGTATTGCGTTCCATGTGGCAGTTTATTGGATCCATGCTGTTGCACATTCTGGTGGAACATCTTTTAGAAATAAGCTGTTGTCCAGTACAGAGCAAACCAGTAGAATCTTCACCAAACTGATCCTGTTCTGTGTTAACTTTCACTTCATAGGTGATAAATGTCTTGCAGTCTGAGCATCATTGCGATGAAAAAGAAGCTCACCTGATTTGTGATAAAGTCCAAGCCAAACTCCTCAAAGAGTGCCACGATCCTTCTAAGATGTGTATTACTGACTTAAGGATTCAGCACTGGGAAGAAGCTATACAAGAAATAAAGGGAGGGACAGCCAACCGCAATCTAGCTACAGAATGTTATTTCCTTTGGAAAACTACCCGCCTGCAACATCTGACCTTGGCAGAAGAGACACGGGGGATGCTCAGCAACCTTAGAAAATATGTCCGTTTGCTTCTGCTGACAAATGGAGACACTCAGACACAAAGAGAGAAGATTGAAGCCTGTGCTTGCCAGCCATACTTTGATGCCATTGTTGTGGGGGGAGAGCAAAAAGAAGAGAAACCGGCATCATCTATATTTCGTCACTGCTGTGAACTTCTAGGGGTTCAGCCTGAGGATTGCGTGATGGTTGGTGACTCTTTAGATACAGACATTCAAGGAGGCTTGAATGCAGGTTTTAAAGCAACAGTTTGGATAAATAAAACTGTCACGCCCCCAAAAGACACTTCTCCAGTCCCTCACTATATTATTTCTTCCGTTCTTGATCTTCCAGGACTTCTACAAAACAAAGGAGATGCTAACTTAGAAATTAACCAGTTGGCTGGTATTTGTAACGTGTGCGATAGTTCCGCTGAGGAACCTAGGACTTTAACCTGCTAGGGTTCATTTTAAAGGGCATTTTTACGCGTGAAGCTTGAATCAGCTTGTTACTAAGTAAAATACCTACATTGGCTACAATGTACACTTGATTTCTACATTGTTGTAGTAGGAGTATTTGCATGTAACACAAACAGAATGAAAAGCATCTCTGTTACATGCAGGAATGTAGAAGGCAGTATAAAGATCTGTTTTATGATTGTGGAATTAAATCCTAATTGTTCAAAACCCCATTTGGACAATCCAGCTTTGTCCTCTTACATATTCTTGTAATTCTGGGTTCTCTCGTTCATTTTTACTGTGTTTTGCAGTGATTGTTCTCAAATAAAATGGTCTCAACATCATCAGTGAAATGGTCCATGCCCTCGTATATATGCAGACCCATTTATCAGAGATATTAAATAATCTGCTTTTTGTGAGGTAATATATACATTGACTAACGCTAGCATTTAAAGCAGTGTGGTGATGACATCCCTATGATATATAATCCAAGAGGACGTGCGTTCCTTGGCTTGCTCAAACTTCCTCAGATGTATGGCTCTTTGGAGTTCAACTTATTCTACCTTACGATGACAATTTTGTGTGCCATCTATGTCAGTGTTGCTTTACAAAGAACATAGGTGCGACAGCTCACTGCCGCAAGGGGCTTGCAGTCTAAAACAAGCACAGGGTGGCCTCAGAAGAAGGGAGTACTAGGACGCATGGGTAAGGCAAGGACAGAGTATAGTATTATTTCACTTACACATACATCTGCTTAGTTATAATAGTGTTATAGCATTGATTGCTTTGGGACTATCCCATGCTTCAGAAAATAATGTAAAGTGGGACAGGGGAATGTGGGGCCCTTCAAATGTTGGACTCCAATTCCCACCAGTCCTAGCCAGCATGGCTGTCAGTCAGAGATGATGAAAATTCAATGCAATACTATCTGGAGGGCCACAAGCATAAAGAGTAAGGGACTAATGCCATGATAGACGATTCCAGGTGACTTAGCAAGCTTCCATACATATGGAGTATAAAGCAAGGCAAGGCCATATGTTTTTCAGCTATAAGAAATGTGTTTCATTAGCTTTGTCCAAGAAGAGCTAAAGGATACAAACCTAGTGATGGTAGCCAAATGGTTCATTATACTGTTTAAATCTAGGGAATGCAGCACAGAAGTGGGTAAAGCCATGGGGAAAGGATTTCAGGTGGGGTAAAGTAAAGGGAAGAGAAAACACATCTTGCAACGGCCTAAACCATGAGGAATATCCATAAGGCTCTCCATATTCCACAAATGTGTGGATTACTTGCATATGGGTACAGCAGCACACCTGCTGAGGGTTCTCTGGATTGAAGTCAGATCCAGCCAAATTCTTCGGCAGGGTGAAGTGGCTTACTTCAAGAGTCAACAGCTGGGAAGCTACTTCAAGACAGTCATTTTTTTAGTTTATTGTTACATCTTTTGTATCACCATGGATGAGTGATATTTAGATTTGGTTCCCTCAGACTGTTTCTTGATGAGGGCTTGGGCTTATCGACAAATAATTTATTCCACAGAATCCTTCAAGGACTGTGCTGTTCTTTCTTTTGAGAAACAGAGGTGGAAAATCTGGGGCCGCCCAACTTCGTTGGACTAGTAACTCTCATCAGCTCCAGGCAACATGGCTGATGGGCAGGGTTGTGGGGAACTGCACTTGAAGAACATCTGGAGGACCCCCGGTTGCCTAGCCTAGAAAAAGAATGACATCAACCTTCATTCAAATCTGATTTACAAGTGATTGCCAGGATAGATTACTGTCAAGTAATCTAGTTGCCCCGAGGTACCAAGACGGCAGGAAGCAATGGGAGACAGAAATTTCCCAGAATAATTGCTAGATATTTCATTCTTCCTCATGTCACCCATAATCCTAAGCAACGATATTTTCTAGAAAAAGAGGTGCTGGGTGAACACCTGCCTTGTTTTCTTAGAATGGCAATGGAACCCACCTGAGAGGTGCCGGAACTAGAGTCCCAATGAGTTCCAGCTGGGGGAAAAAGTCCTGATCCTAAACATAACTGAATAACCCATTGGTCCTACCCATACTGCGTCAGCTCAATTGAACACTCTGCTTTAATTCTTAGTGAGTGTGCTCATGATCGTGCCACAACGTATCTGAGAGATTTGATTTTACAGTATTTGTATACTGCTTTGGTTCTAGGTTCTTGGGACGTGGGTGGCGCTGTGGGTTAAACCACAGAGCCTATGACTTGCTGATCAGAAGGTCGGCGGTTTGAATCCCCGCGACAGGGTGAGCTCCCGTTGCTCGGTCCCTGCTCCTGCCAACCTAGCAGTTCGAAAGCACGTCAAAGTGCAAGTAGATAGGTACCGCTCCGGCGGGAAGGTAAACGGCGTTTCCGTGAGCTGCTTTGGTTCGCCAGAAGCGGTTTAGTCATGCTGGCCACATGACCCGGAAGCTGTACGCCGGCTCCCTCAGCCAATAAAGCGAGATGAGCGCCGCAACCCCAGAGCTGGTCATGACTAGACCTAATGGTCAGGGGTCCCTTTACCTTTACTTTACTTGGTTCTAGGAGGTTGCAGACAGGACAGGTTCAATGAAGATGCAATCATTCCTGCCATTTTGTAGGTGAGGGGTAGGAAACCGTAGCCCTTCAGGTGTTGCTGGACAATGGTTCCCATTATCCCTGTTCATTTGCCATGCTGGTTGGGGCTGATGGGAGGTGGAGTCCAACAAGATCTGAAGGGCCAGAGTTGCCCCACTCCTGCTGTAGGTGGAGATTGTGACTTTGGTTGACAACCGCAGTTGAGGGTTCCCATGGTTCTGTTCTGGTTCCCTCTTGTAATAAGGAAAAGAAAGAATCCAATCAGGTTTAGAAGAACCTGAAGCTGTTCCATTATTGGATGCTGCAATTCTGTGTTGCTGCCGAGTTGTGCTTCTTTCCAGTAGAATCCTGTGTGCAGCTTATCACCTTTCGATGCAATTGGTAGCTGAGCGTTCAAAATTTAAATGACATTAAAAAGGCAAGCACTCTTCCACCCAACCATCAACAAATTTAAATCTATTCCACATTGTGTTATGGTGCATCTATACACATGGCAAGGTATCGGGGCCCCACTACGTATCTAACCCCACTACGAACTGCATACAGCATCATACATGGGCACCTAGTCAGTTGTGTGTGTGTCCTTAATTGTCATGTTCCTTTTGTTCCCGTTTTAGGTGGTGGTGGATGACAGCAGGGCTTGCATGTGCAGCTGCATGTGTACACAACCCATAGGCTTGGTATGTGGAAGGCACAGGAGAGGCACACAAGGGTGATGCCGATGCCCCTCTGTGTATATGAAATCACTTGTGAGTATTTGAGGTTGCCCGTATGTGCATCATAACCCATGGCATGGAAAGTCCAGAGAGGATACACATTCAATACTCTGATAATATCAGAACACATCACTAGGATGTCTGTCTGTCTATTTATTTAAACTTTTACTTTCCATGAGCATTACTCTTTAAAAAGTATTGGGAGTGAGTGTTTCTCTCCCCCTCCCCACTCAAGTTCTAGTATTTAACTTTTCATCCTTTCTAAATTAACTATTATGGTACCTTAATTATTGTCCCCTTATGCCTCTAACATGACTTCTTTTTCATGATTATATATATAGGCTTTCTTGCCAGGGTTAGGGATTTGGAGCGATTGCCACAAACATGTTGCAAGCTTTTGTTTTCCAAACTGTTGATGTTTTTCACTGTCTTTTTGTGGGCATTTTACTGAGAAGGGTCCTGAATATTCTCTTTTTTGCTTTCAGTATGAAAATGCATCAACAACAGAAGTGACCAGCTTCTTTCCTGCCTGCAACTGGATGAAACAACCGCACTGTTTGCTTCTATTCTAAACTTAAATCTCAGTTACTTTGAAAGTATCTGATTTGTCTATATATGAGTGACAGATGCATTTTCTAATGCATTTGTACATTGTTTAAAACCTTTCAATAATTCTGTTGTGAAATGTTATTTCAGTATTGTAGTATTAACCATTTCTTGCAATAATTTTTTTGTTTGTAATAAAGCAGTAAAACTATTCTGTATCCAGTTTTTTATTTATGCCAGCATTTAAAATTAGGGTGAAGTATAAAAAAAAAATATCTGAGTGGTATTCAACTGAGTTTTACTCAAATTAAAAAGGTAAAGGGACCCCTGACCATTAGGTCCAGTCGTGACCGACTCTGGGGTTGCGGCGCTCATCTCACTTTATTGGCTGAGGGAGCCAGCATACAGCTTCCGGGTCATGTGGCCAGCATGACTAAGCCACTTCTGGCGAACCAGAGCAGCGCACGGAAACACCGTTTACCTTCCTGCCGGAGCGGTACCTATTTATCTACTTGCACTTTGACATGCTTTTGAACTGCTAGGTTGGCAGGAGCAGGGACTGAGCAACGGGAGCTCACCCCGTCAGACCCAGTGAAATTAAGGGACCTAACTTAGTCATGTCCACACCAAGTGAAACTTAATTAAATACTGCACTCTCTGTCAAACCAAACTTTCTCTGAATGATTCTCTGCCATCACCAAAACCACAGCATGTCAGATTGTCTTTTGGCTGTGAATCAATTCCAGCTTTCCATGTAGCATACACTTACCAGGTCCTGCCATTAGGTAGTATGCGGCAGCCACCTGGCATGGCAGATGCTGGTAGGGGGCAGAGAGTGGCAGAGAGGTATTCAGGGGCAGAGTTGTGTGTACCATGTAGCACATCTGCATTCCCTAAATTAGTATCCTTCCTTCAGGTGCATTAAAGGGTGCTTTCCTGCTGTGGGTGTTGAAGTAAGATTAAACTGCCAGTTTATTGAGCTTCTGTATAAATGGGAGAACTTTTTGTTTCTTTGCCTCAGGCGGTAAAATATCCTAGGCAGGCTCCAGATTTGCTTAGGTTATGAAGTATACAGTGGTACCTCGGGTTAAGTACTTAATTCGTTCCGGAGGTCCGTACTTAACCTGAAACTGTTCTTAACCTAAAGCACCACTTTAGCTAATGGGGCCTCCTGCTGCTGCTGCGCCACCAGAGCACGATTTCTGTTCTCATCCTGAAGCAAAGTTCTTAACCTGAAGCACTATTTCTGGGTTAGCGGAGGCTGTAACCTGAAGCGTATGTAACCTGAAGCATATGTAACCCGAGGTACCACTGTATTTCTCATTCCATTGATACTAACAACACAGTACACCTTGCTCTTTCTTTCATTGTTCCCTCCAAATGTTTTGAACTAGTGGACTCCTGGCAAATTTCCAGTGGACCACCTAACTGGAATCCTTGTATAGAATTCTGGTCCCTGCTTTCATCCCATAAGATATTTGTGTTCTTAAGTGTCAGGGAA